AAATATAGAAAGTTTAACAGACCATGAAGACAAGTAATTTCAAATATGATTATAAAAATATATAAGAAAGGGTAAAGGAAATTACTTTTTTATGTTCTTAAAGTACACTGAGTTTTTAATGCAGCATTCTCAGTTGTAACAATCTCTTCAAACAGATAGACCAAAAATTTAAATATATACTCTCTTTTTTTTGTATAATGCAAAGAATAGAATAATATCAAATTTTATTTTACTTCAAGAAAACAATTTGTACTGCCTTACAAATGTTATTGTGAATTGCATTTATTTTTGGTGGCTATATTAATATTGAAGATTGCCCGGTGGGTTTTCATTTCTTCATAAATCTCTATGGCTACATCTACTCATCATTTAAAAAGCTTTCTTTACTTCCAAAGCCAAGCAAACAGTACATTATATATGGAGAAATTATAGGTGTGGCAAGGTGTTGCTTGATCAATCATTGTTGGGTAATTGTTGGACAGTTTTCAGAATTTCTACATCCACAAAACCAGTTTTAGATAAGAATCGAAATCAGATTGCTATATGACTTGGCATGGCAGCTTGTATAATAATCTGAAAGTGAGCACAGTTTCCAAGTTTCTTTCCCCAAGTAACTTCCCACTGCAGGCCAGCAAGATCCTTCAAATAAGTGATGTGTTATTTCAAATACACATCAGGTTAGTTCAGGGTGGAAGAGACCTCAGGAATCAACATGTTTAATGGTTTGCAAACTTCCTTTTTACTCCTAAGAAAATTTATATAATATTCTAACTACCACAGGCATTGAAGTGGAGCATCTTGAGTTAAAGGGAGGCCCAGGGTGCAGAGCCAAACGTGAAATTTTGCTACCACGGATGTAACGGCTCCACAACAGGGCTTTATATGGGTACGTGGTGTTACAGATCAGTACATACGTGTAGGCATAAGTATATATGCATATGTGTGTATAGATATTCACATGTGTATAGTATATATATATAAAAATATAAATGTGTATGTCTCTCTGTTTGTATGTGCAATCTCCTTCTAAGTCCTCCAAGCATGAGTCATTTATTTTAATATTTAAGAGAAAAGAAATTAAGGAAAAAGGTATCGGAATGCTTCCCAAATGATTTAATGAGGCCAGTATAAACCTTAGGTCAATATCTGACAAAGACATTTTTTAAAATAAAAAGCAGTCCCTCCCAAAGCACTACATCTTTAATTTTAGCAAATGGAAACTAGCCGTATATAAAATTTTTATTCATCGTGACCAAATGAGGCGTATGCCTGAATGCAAGCATAATGTAATGTCTGAAAGTCAATTGACATAACTTACCACACTAAAAAAAATTAAAGGTGAGGAATCACATGGTCATCTGAAATAGATGCATTAAAAGCAGTCAGAAAATCCCATATCCATTTATGCAAAAACTATCAGTAAAAAGGATTAGAAGGGATTCCTCAATCTGACAAAAACCAAGTACGGAAAACCTTCAGTTAACATCACATTTATTGGTGACATATTACATGATTTCTCCTAAATTCCAGAGGTAGGAAATTAATATTTACTGGAAGTCCCAGCCAATGCACTGATTAAGAAAATCAAACAAAAGCATAAAAATTGGAAAGGAAGAATTAAAACTCTCTCTAGTTGCAGAAGATATGATTATTTTAAAAAATCATAGGAGATGTAAAAAAAAACACCAACTACTAGAATTTATAAGTAAAATTTTCAAGAATATAATTGTAAGGTTACTTTAAAAATCAATTGTATTTTTATGTACAATCAACAAACATTTGGAAAATATTATTTTAAATGAAACTTTCCAAAGTAACTCAAGAATAACAATGGGAAAATATTTGCAATTAATGCACATGGTATATTTCATATTTTATATTGCTGAAGAAATTGAAAAGAACTAAATAAAATATGAGATATACCATGTGCATTAATTGGAAGTGTCATTATTAAGATGCCAATCTTCTCCAAATCTATAGATTCAATGCAGTATCAATCAAAATTCAATTAGTCTTTTTTTTTTTTTAGAATTCAGAAGTAGGTTGTCATATTATTATGGTCAATTGATTTTAAATGCAAGCATCACTGTAATCCAATGAGAAAGGATGCTCTTTTCAAGAAATGGTTCTGGAAGAACTAAAAATCTGTAAGATGGGAGAAATAACCTTTGATTTCTATTTCCCAGCATAAAAACTAATACAATGTACCTTTTGAGTCACTGCTGCTGCTAACCGGCCCCCAGAACTGTCTCCTGAAATACAGATTCGGGTGGGATCCACTCCATATTTTGTAAGAATTTTATCCTGAAGAAAAAACTTGACTGCAGCGATGCTGTCTTCAAATTGAGCAGGAAAGCGGTGTTGGGGAGCTAGTCTATAGCTTTGAAAAAGAAAAATGTATTTAAACAGTTTTAATAAGTACCATTATGGTTGTATCTGTCTCTGTAGCTTCCAAGTATCAAATAAATGTAATGAAACAGGTTTTATTGTTTTATCTTCCAAAAATCAAACCTGAGTTTTCTGCTAACTCATCATGATGTGAAAAAATAAAAATAGATATAAAGCTTTCCACATCATATCTAAGGTCCATGGGTGGCATTGCTTGTGAGAAGTAAGGGGATTGTTATGAACTCCCTGATACTATGACCATAACTTTTAGTCCAAGTACATTTTGGATTGAAGATGCTCTATAGCTTACATCATATTCTCAGTGTAACTGGTGATCAAAAACATTTTTAAAAATGATTGAAAAAGCACCATTGATGTTTGAAGGCAGACGACTTGAGAGCATATTTTAGGCAAATGTCCTATTTTTTTAAGGTCATTTAGATACAAATTCTACACACTGGTAATGCACATCCCTCATTATGGATAGTGCCCAGGAGTTGATTCTACATAAAAATTTTGAAATATATATAACATTTAAATATGCTAGAAATCTTGCTAGTTTCTGGTAAATTCACACTATCACACAATTCTTTGAATAGATATAGATTTTTCATATA